TATATATATATAAGTTAAAACCGGCTAGCGCCCCCGATACCCGACGACGACCCTTCTCATTCGACCCCTCGGCCACCCACATCGTACACATTCAATGGCTGCAATGACCCGGCCGCTGGGCCACAAGAGCTACAGCGGCAGCACCAGCAATAGCGACAGCGGCAGCACCAGCAATAGCGACGGCGGCAGCAGCAGCTAAACAGCGACAGAGATGCGACAGCAGCGGCAGCGCCAGAACGACAGCGGCAGCTAAAGTGGGACCCAAATTTTTGCGGGTACCCCCCGACAAAAATCAAAGAAAAAAAAAATGTGAAAAAAAAGAAGAAGGGTACTCCCTCCGCAAAAAAATATACGAAAAATTAAGATTAAAAAGTTACGGGTACCCTGTTAATTAATAATAAAAAACCCAAAAATGGGAAAAAATTATTTAAAAAGAATGATGCGAAGATGAATCAAAAAATGTTTTTAAAAATGAAAAACCCAAAAATGGGAAAAAATTATTTAAAAAGAATGAAAAGAAGATGAATTAAAAAATGTTTTTAAAAATGAAAAACCCAAAAAAGGGTAAACATTATTTAATACGGCGTTGTGTGTGTGAGAGCGCATAAAAATGTGTGTAATACAACTACCCGACGCGGTGGGGATGCTGCCTTTCGCAGCTGGCATTCCCCACGGGCGCAAAAAAAAAGTTGTAATAAAATAATAAAACAGTGAACCTGCCGCGGCGATATGTCCACGCACCTCTCAGTGTTACGTATTCGCGGGCACAAAAAAAACTGTGTATAAAACAAAAGAAGCAATAACCCGCTGCGGCGTTAAGTTCACTCAAGTGGGTAGCTTAATCGCGAGCGCAAAAATTGCATTATTCAAAGAAAAGAAAAAACTTTGGCAACAAAAAAATATAATAAAAACAAGAAAGAAAGCAAACTTCGGCAAGCCGAAGTTTATATACCCTTGCAGCTATTGCAAGAATTAAACATTTTTGAAAACATTAAAATTATAATTTACTTGCGTATAAGTTTAAAAACATTGAAGCTATGATGATTTGCAGCTCAATTATTTGATAGTTATTTTATATATTTTTATTGTTCCTATGGGAGCTATATGATATAGTCGTCCGACTTTGATGAAACTTAAACCGTAAATTGGAAATATTTAACCATTACTAAATGTCGAAGAACTAAACATAAAATTAAAAAACAGAAAAGTTATAATTTTTTTTCATTTATTTCTCCGATTGTTCCTATGGGAGCTATATGATATAGTCGTCCGACTTTGATGAAATTTAAACCGTAAATCGAAAATATTTAACCATTACTAAATGTCGAAGAACTAAACAAAAAATTAAAACACAGAAAAGTTATAATTTTTTTTCAATTATTTTTCCGATTGTTCCTATGGGAGCTATATGCTATAGTCGTCCGATTTTGATGAAATTTAAACCGTAATTCTGAAATATTTAACCATTGCTATATGTCGAAGAACTAAACAAAAAATTAAAAAACAGCAAAGCTATAATTTTTTTTCATTTATTTTTCGGATTGTTCCTATGGGAGCTATATGCTATAGTCGTCCGATTTTGATGAAATTTAAACCATAATTCTGAAATATTTAACCATTGCTATATGTCGAAGAACTAAACAAAAAATTAAAAAACAGCAAAGCTATAATTTTTTTTCATTTATTTTTCCGATTGTTCCTATGGGAGCTATATGCTATAGTCGTCCGATCCGGCTCGTTCCGACTTATATACTACCTGCAATAGAAAGACAACTTTTGGGAAAGTTTCATGCAGATAGCTTTAAAACTGAGAGACTAGTTTGCATATAAACGGACGGACAGACGGACAGACGGACATGGCTAGATCGACTCGCCTAGTGATGCTGATCAAGAATATATATACTTTATAGGGTCGGAGATGTCTCCTTCACTGCGTTGCATACTTCTGACTGAAATTATAATACCCTCTGCAAGGGTATAATAATTCTTTTATTCTGAAATAGGAGATAGCACTGGAAAATAATTGGGAACGTTTTTTTTTTCAATCCTTCTTTATTGTTGTTTTAGGTTTCAAACTAGGAAAAAGAACTTTCAGAACTTTGTAAGAACACCACAAGACTACAAGAAAACGGACAAAAACACACACAAATCAAAAAAAAAAAAAACCAAAGAATTTTTGCGAAGCGAAAAGGAAACCAACGGGTGAGTGAAACGTTTAAATAAAACAATTTCCCCTAAATAAAAAAATATAAAAAATAGTAAGGAGTCAAACTGTTACCCGTTAGGCCCATCTACATTTAAATTTTTCACTCTATCCTTTTAAAAATAAAATACACGGCCTGAACAAAGAAAAATTTTTTTACTTAGCAAAAATTAGAAAATAAAAAATGGAGGAAATCAAAGAAGTACTAAAACGCCTTAATGCCTCCATGACAATCTTGACTGCCCAAATGGCAGAGATGAAGAACGATGCTAAGAAAGTAGGGAATAGAATAGATACTCTCGAATCCGATTTCGAGAAACGTAACCCGGTGGTGGAAATACCGCTACCACTAACGCACCCACGCAATACAGACTTAAGGAATCACAAGATGACCTCTATTACATTCGTAATGACAACCAAAATAATACAGGCAAATTTGCTTTTTTATACAGCAGTTCTTTTTGTCATTTTTAAGACACGATAATAAGCCTTCTCTACCTTAGCTTAGCTTTCTGACCCTCTTAATGAGTATTGACCGAATTGTTCTTATAGGTTGAAGGGCAAATTACTGTGAAAGCTGCTTCGACAATGGTGTACATCCAATATCTCAATTCCTGAACTGGTGGTTTTCCGCCTTTCGGATGCGTCCTTACTCTTTCAAGTATCCTTACCAAAAAATGTTCTGGTCTTCCAAAACACATTTAGAGCGTTGCGATTACTTCAGGATCCATTGTGGGAAGAATAAGTTTGTACCGCGCTTTGCCTCCAAGACATTTCTGCAAACGTAGCATGTTTTCGACGTGCTAGAATCCACCGACAAAAGTATTATTTTCAAAACTGCTGATGAGCATAGGCCATTATTCGGAATCTCCATTGAACTTGGGCAAACCTTTCGGTATAGTTTTTCAGTTGGCTACCCGACGTAGAACTGATCCCACGCATTGATGCAGACAAATTGGTTAAAAGGGTGTTACGGGAGCGGGGTGAAAAATAAAACAAGAAAGAAATAGATACAATAACCATAGACAGAAGACACCGTAAAATGCAGGTGGCGAAACACCGAAATTGCCCAATACAGTAACAAGCAACGAATTGGTCAGAGTAAGCAATTCACAAGAACATACAGCATAGAGGTGGAGAACTATCGATAGTGGGCGCCATCGATAGTCGACGATAGTTTATTTTAAACGATCGATAGTGTCGATAGTGCCATCGATAGTGGCACGATAGTGTAGCCCAACAAAAAAATTTTTTTTAAGCAAATATAAAAATATTATGCTTTATTTTAACTAAGTTACGATAAAAAAAAGAATGAAACGAATACAATAAAATATGCTTTATTTCAGCCAAGAGTTGCGATTTAAAAACAAAAGAATGTTAATATTTTTTTCTTTGAGCCGGGTTCGCCTCTCCGATATTATTTGGCCCGCCTTGCTGAATGTTCTTTCAGACTCCACGGACGTAGCCGGAATGCAAAGATATTTGGCGAAAAGGCTCCCAATGGCAGGGAAATCAGTTTGATTCACCTGGAAAACAGTAATATACTTAATTATATGCAATTAATAACTCGGCACTTTTAATTAAGGCATACCTTCATCCATAATAGAGGGTCGATATCTTGTCCGACAATTGCCCTTTCCAGATACTGTTTCTTAGTTAAAATTGCATCGACTCTTGAGTTTACAAATTTATTCATGGAACGCTCACCCAAAAAATCGAACAAAGTATCCAGTAAACTTGAATCCGGTGCTACGGGTTGATTACTTGCGGTCTCTTTAACTGGAAAATTGGCCAGCTCATTTTCAAAACATGTTGCTGCTTGTTCAGCGTTTGAGCTATGTTGAAATCCACTTTTTTTGAACCGTGGATCCAAAAGCGTAGCCATCCTGCAGACTGTTCTCTGCTCATATACGGAAAGACGTTGCTTGATTGATTCCATCAATATTTTGTTTAAAGTTTTTCAATATCTTTCAGCATAAGTATTTCCTCAGCAGTAAATGGCTGCGGTGCATTCGTTGTTGATTGTAAAACTTTGGCAATGGCATCGTTCATTTTTATAATACGCTCAATCATAAAATAAAACTATTCCACCTAGTGGGCGTTTCTTGCAACACAGTATATTTTGAGCCTTCTTGAGCTAATTTGAGCTTTTCATTTGATATAGTGTTTTGCTTGAAAAATCGAACGATTGATTTACACTTAGTAAATAAAGCTTGAAGCACTGGGTCATCAACTTTTAGAGCATCTTGCACCACGAGACTTATAGTATGCGCAAAGCATGGCAGATTGCGAATATGCAATAGATCACATGCTTTAAGCATGGAGCTGGCATTGTCGGTAACAATACATACAGTTTTTTCCAGAATGTTCCATTCAATAAAAATGTCCCGCAATGTATCAGCAATGTTTTGTGAACAATGATTAGTTGTGCTTAGAAGTTTTTTTGTTGCTAAGGATGCTGTTTTTAATTCGTAGTTATATACGAAATGACCCGTCACAGTCAAAAAACTAGCATTGGCACTTGATGTCCACAAATCACACGTAACTGCGATATTCGAAACATTTACAAGGATTGCTGATAACTTGGCAGAAGTTTCGGTAAAATAATTATACATCAGCACATCTCTTAAGTGCGTCTTGCTGGGTAATTTATACCAAGGATCCAATACATGAGTGTATTGCACGAACCCTTCGTTTTCTACAATATTGTAGGGCTGCACATCTTTGGCAACCATTTCAGTTAGAGCTTTATCTATGTCAGTCTTTCTTTTAGAATTTGAATCATACATGACGGCTCTTTTAAAGTATGACGCCACAGAGTTCATGCTCGATCTGCAACTGCTGCTTGTAGATGTAGTGACGTTCCTCTCAGCACGTACAACTTGTGTGCTCGATTCTGGGCTCTTTCTTTCCACGCCAGGATGGAACCTTTTTAAATGGTCGTGCAAGTTAGATGTATTGCCGCTTGTCTTGTATTCTTCGCCACAATCGAGACATTTGGCATATTTCTAGTCGTCAGACCTTTTAAAATATTTCCAAACACGTGAAATTTTCGACTTCTTTTTGTTACTCTGTCGATTTGGTTCCAAATCTTTTTCAGAGTCTGTGCTGGAGGAGCACTCACAGTCCGGCTTGTCGGCACTTGATGAAGACATTTACTCGACGTTTACCTTAAATTTAACAAATTATAGATCAAAACACTTACGTATATAATATAGTAAACATACACAGATTTAAAAAGCGATCCATATTAATTTAACTAATTGTTTCTTGTTTTAAAATTTTTCCTCGTTTTCGCATTTGACGCCGACACGGAAAATGCGCGAACAAATTTTTTAGGGATGTAAGAAGCGCACTATCGATGGCACCATCGATAGTGGATGGGCCAGTATCGAAGGTGTCTGCTGCCATCGATGGTGGCTCGATAGTGCTAAACCATCGATAGTGGCGATAGTGCCATCGATAGTTCTCCACCTCTAATACAGCAGGCAATGGTTGTGAGCAGCAATTTATACGAATCTTAGCAGAATCCAGAAGTGGGCCATTTAGCCAGAAAACGGGAAAATGCTGTACCTAAGTGAGAACGCTTAGATGACCCGGAAACAATACCACCGGTATAAAAGATCCCCCACCTTAGGATCGAGAGACAGGCCAAAGTAATTGACAATCGGGAGTCGAAACAGTAACGACCGCGGAACCGCGTTAGGTCCACTACCGGCGAAAAAAGTAAACGCGTAGGACCTATCCAAGTGTTCTAATTGGAACCCGATAGAAACACACTTTTTATATATCATGGGATCTACAAACTCAAAGGCGTCCGACAATACGGCGAACGTGGTAAACAACCGAACGAGAAAATCGTAGCTGTCACCGCCAATTGGCCAGAAACTAGCCAGCACTAACTTATCAACCCGTGCACAAATAGCAATTACTTTATTACTAATTATTTCAATTTCGGCACTATAAACTCGTCTGAACATTCAACAACACAATATATATATATATAAATGTTTAAATTGCACATAAATCTAGATATCCCCTAGCTCTATCTTTTTTCTAAGGCACAATAAATTTATTCTTGTTATGCAGGGGAGGCAGTGGTTTCCAAAGAACACACCCCGTCCGGCGAGCTGAACCGGCACCCGGCGTGCCTACCCAGGACGCAACTCCCTCGGCCCAAGTCCTTTTGACTGGGCACTAATACACCGACGTAACAGAATTGGCGCCCAACGAAGAATTCTTCACATCCTAAGAACTTGGACTTTTGACATCTGAACATTTTTTTTGTTTTACGTATTAAAGTTTACGATTTCAAAATTGGAATACCGGATGTAGGGAATATCTGAAAAATTACATGCAAGACATAATTTTCAATTTTGCTGAACAAAGATCAAAAATAATTTGTGTCGACACTTAAAATTCCTCTTACATATAAAGTCCCCAACTTCAGCGACAGTCAGAATTGAGAAAGGCCGCTCAGTCGGGACTTTGTCTCAGAAAAGCCGTGCGACTTTATGACTCTTTTCAATGTCTAGTAAAATCATTTGTCTTTTTTTTTATTAATAAAAAAATTGTATGCGTTTTAATTGAACATTTTATTATCCTTATATAATATTATCAAATCACGTGCAAGACCGTGCAAACAAACTTAATTTTTTGTTTTGTTTTCTCTGGCCGACGCTCTTGGGGGCTTAATTTCGAACGGTTTCTTGACCCATAAATAACTTCCAGTGCCATTTTTCAGAACAAAAAAAGTGTGGCAGACGTGTGCCACTATCAAGGTTGATTGATATTTAATTATTTCGGCACGCGCCAGAACCTTGAAATATGAAGATAGGTCAGTAAACGGCCAGGGCAAAGACTTAACAATAATTTTATAGGACCGTATCCCCGGACCAAGTCCGGAAAAACCGTGATTTTTGCGTGTCTGGACCATTTCACCGAATTCGTCTGTTTAAAGGCAATGCGAAAAGCAACCGCAGCAGCCGTAGTTACCTTTCTCGAAAGAAACATCTTTTATCAATTTGGAGTGCCAGAATGCATTCACTCCGATAACGGTAAGTAGTTTGTGTCGTCAACATTTGCCGAATTAATCACCCAATATGGAATCCGACACGTTCGAACGGGCTTTTATTCGCCACAAGCGAGTAAACCGATCCATGCTACAAATGCTCAGGGCAGCTACTGAACTACAAGAAGGAGAGAGAGAAATACTAGAAGAAGAGAGAGAAGCATTCCAAATGAGCAGGAAAATCACGACGTCGCCAGATCAATGCGTGACAGAAGCAGGAGGAACGGACAAAATGGTGCAGGCCGAGGCACCCCGAACCCTGGAAGAGGAAGCCGTCGATAAATGTAGAGCTGTGCTGCGAAAGATGAAACATGCCATTTTAAGACAGCGAAACATCAGTATGGAAGTATGGAAACATCAGTTATGGAATTGAGCGACCTCCTGGATAGCGTCGGGAAATACAGGATAAGTTGGGTGACTCTCGAAGCAGAGAAAGTCAAGGAGGTTTACATGGTAACTGAAGCCATAAAAAAGGAGGAAAGAAACTGACACCAGTAACGTTCCGTAGAAAGCTGGGTGCCTCTAGCCCGGCCGTGCAAGGGTGATCCAAAAAGGCGAAAAGTAAAGACCAGGATGACTTCAAAACTGTGACTAGGAAGGGAAAATCCAAAACGTCTCAAACAGAGAGACAGAATGCACAGAAAGATGGCGAGCCCGAGAAGAACGGAGGAAAGCCCAAGGAGCGAATAACATACATGCCTGAAGCAGTATTGGTCAAGCCTGTAGAAGGCAAAAGCTACGCCGAGGTACTGAGGGAGTTAAGAAAAACTATGAAACCTGACGAGAACGACATTGCCATTAGCTCGGTTCTGAAAACAAAATCAGGCTATTTGCTTCTTGAGCTTATTATTATTATTATTATTATTATTATTATTATTATTATTATTATTATTATTATTATTATTATTATTATTATTATTATTATTGTTATTGTTATTATTATTATTATTATTATTATTATTATTATTATTATTATTATTATTATTATTATTATTATTATTATTATTATTATTATTATTATTATTATTATTATTATTATTATTATTATTATTATTATTATTATTATTATTATTATTATTATTATTAATATTATTATTATTTTTATTATTATTATTATTATTATTATTATTATTATTATTATTATTATTATTATTATTATTATTATTATTATTATTATTATTATTATTATTATTATTATTATTATTATTATTATTATTATTATTATATGTGACAACCGACAGGCTAAGGTGAAAAGCCGGTGTGAAATCCAGCTTGCGTTCGTTTCCTGCATCGGGCGACATCCTGGTTAGCGGCTGTTCCGCATTGACGGCTACACAAGTGTCTTTCCCGGATCGGCAGACAATAAAGAAGGTCCCCCTCTGATGACCTTGGCATTCCAAAACTTGAGTTCCCAGATTGAGACCCTGGTTAAATGGCTGCTGGGCTAATGCTCAAGTTACCTCCGTCTACTAAAACTTGGCGAGTCTTTAAATACTTTTGATTCACAACATCGCAGAACCGTTGGTACAGATGCACTTGAAAGAAATCCTGCTTAACATCCGCCCTGGCTCTGAACGCAGGTACCTGCGTCAGCCCGCGCATGAACCTCAGTGCTAGCATACGAACCCATGGGGACATTGTGGAAGACTGCACATATGTGAGGAAATAGCGACTTAACGTTTGGACCCAGGAAGCATGAATAACAACAACACTAATAATGAACTACAAGAAGGAGAGAGAGAAATACTAGAAGGTGAGAAAGCAACATTCCAGATCAAAGCGTTACAGGAGCAGGAGCAAAATTGTGCAGCCCGCAGCACCCCGAAACCCAGCGCCCTTATTCTTGTCAATACCTCAAGAGAAACAGCAAACTGTTTCGTTATTCGAAGAGGTCAGACCTGCTGTAAGCTCCCCGAGACAAGAGCGTATATATAAGATGAGAACCCTGGAAGAAGAAGCCGTCGAAAAGTGTAGAGCTGTGTTGCGAATGATGAAACATGCCAAGTTAAGGCATAAGTTTGGATAGCGTC